CGAGAATCAAACCCGGGCAGCGCATTGGTAAAAAGTAAAAGTTTTCCGCCACACTACCCAGGTGTGAGCCATTTGGAATGTTGATTAGAAGCTGCAGTCTATCCTGGCTGATAACACCTTTTGGGAAGCAAAGTTAAGTGAAAGCTCTAATTTATAACAGAATGATTTCGAGATATGAATGCAAGTGAAATGAAGAACTAGCAAGCGGGAATCACTAAAATTAAATCTTAAAATCGATTGGATATTCAAAAGCCAATTCAAACCCGGACTCGCCTGCTTTGTTGGGGACCCTTTGATTGCTGTACAGACAGCCATGTATATACTGATTAGGTCACAAAGGCATCTGTGAAAGTTGCTGAAAGCACTACCCAATTTAAGGCTCTCTGTATCAAATGACTCTTGATTCTTCGTGATCTCGCAGCGCAGCCCCTTAATCTCATCTGATCGCTCATCAAGAGTGCGCTGCAGCTTAAGAATTTCTTCCTTCAAGGCCTGGTTGGTTGCCAAATCAGGCCTGTTATTGAGCTTTTCACGCTCATGGCAAAACCAGAGGTCGTGCCGCATACTGGCCAGCTGTCGCAAGGCAACAGAGTAGCGTATCTCGTACTGGCGCAGAGATCGTTTTAGATGATTAACCTCTTTTCCACCATCAGTCATGTTCTGCGATTTGGTCATCGAATCGGTCATGGACAGGTCAGTTGGAAAACCTGTATCGAGAGCATCAGTAGGCTCCCCACCGACAGCAGCAACGTCCTCAGCAGCTTCAAAGTCGGCATCTGCTTTCTTTTGCACTTCCATTATTATGTCAAGTTCAGCCTGCAGCTCACTGATTCGCTGCTGCTTATTGGCACTTTCACTTGTGGCTGTCTCCAAGACACGCTGGAGTTCCTCAAGTGAACGAAGAAGCTCGGTTTTCTCGGCCTCAATTTGGGCAAGTTCAGTTTGATATTTAGATAGCTGAGTATTTTGTAGCTCAGTAAAGAGATCATCGGGTGTGATGCTATCGTGTTTATTTCGGCCGTCCGAAAATACCTTTGCTTCGCTTCCCATAAAACTTGAGTCATTAAAATTTGCATCAGAATTTGAATCTAGCGCATAGTATGAAG